ATGATTTTTTTTTCAGAATTTTCAACTTAATTTTCACTTATAAATGTGTTGTTATATGTCGAATTATTAGTGCATGTTATTTTTAGAGTTTGCACTTGAATTTTTTGCTTATTGTTTATGTAGATTATGATAATTGGAATTGAATTTTGAAGTTAGTGTGTTTAATTTTGCTTTAATTTTTTGTTTATTGTATTAATTGCTTATACATGTGTTGTTATATGTCAAACAACTTTTGCATGTTATTTTCAGAATTTGCTCTTTGATTATTTGCTTTTTTTAGGAGGATTATGATAATTGGAATTCAATTTTGAAGTTAATGTGTTTTTTATGTAGAGTATGAGAATTTATAGGCAGCAAGTCATTGTGTTTAGAAATCAAAGTAAAGGGAAGTAATACTATGTGGTATATGAGTCACTTATATGCATAAAAAGGGTAACATTTGTGCATACAAAGGGTAACTTTTTTGCATACAACCTGAATTTTCCCAAGAGTAATTTGTGAATTGGTAATTTTATCTCTGTATTAATCATTATGCATAACTGATATAGGTGGTTCTATAGGTGGATATCGTTATAAAGTGCCTTCAAAGGGAAAAGCAATGCCTAAAGAGTCTGCTATGGTTAATGTAGTACCTAAGAAGGCTAAAACAGTACCTAAGAAGGCCAAAACAATGCTTGAAGAGTCCGTCAAGGGTAAAATAGTACCTAAGAAGGCCAAAACAGTGCCTTAAGAGTCTATTAAGGTCAAAATAGTACCTAAGAATGTCAAACCAGTTGCTGATGTAAAGAAGAGAAAGAGGAGTTTTCAATTGGAATTGGTTTCTGATTTTGATTTTGATACTTCAGCGTAAGAGAACATGTTTTCAATTATTCTTATTTTGCATTTTTTTTATTTTATTTTGTTTGTAGTCTATATTGTTTTAGTTACTTTCTTTTTTTTTTTCTTTTTTTTTTATTTATTTAGGGACCAGAGACCTTTGATGACAAGGTGTAGACCACATACCTTGGGAAATTTGGTGAAGAACTTTAGTGATAAAAAAAAATAAGCTGTTGTTGAAGTTGGTTTTGGCAATTTGTTACATTTAAAATTAAAAACTCTCTGTCATAAAATGCTACTTTGGCTTGTTGAAAACTTTATGCTGGTAGCTGCATGTTTACCGTTGCTAGTGGTAAAGAATTTGTAGTTACTAAGAATGATGTATGTGATTTGTTTTGCTTGCCTATGGGTGATATTCCTGTTCCGAAACTCAAGAAAAATCCTAAAGTTGCAAGTGTAGACAATTGTATTCTTCAAGCATGGAGATTTGATTTTGATGTTTCTGATAAGCAATCTATTCCTTTGTCAAAATTAGAGTCTCAGATGCAGGAGTTGGTTGATGGAGGGGAAGCATTTAAGAGGTTTTTTGTGGTTCATGCTATGTCTATCTTTTTAGCTCTTACTCCTAATAGGATAGTTTCTTTGAAGTTGCTAAAGGCTGTTGAAGAAGTTGATGAAATAAAAACTTTTGATTGGTGTTCTTATGTTTTGAGGAAGTTAAAAAAGTCTGTTGATAAGTATAAAAAGGATCTGACTGTTCAAAGTGTGAGTGGTTTTTTGCTGGTTTTGCAAATTCTGTATTTTCATCGTTTAAACTTTCAAGGAGAAAAGGAAAGTTGTAGCATTCCTTTGATTCAACATTGGACAGATGCTAAGGTTAAGAGTCGGATTAGAGGTTAAAGCTGGTGGTTTTGGGCAGGGACCATTGGATAAATCTACATATCTTTTGTCACAGTCTGCAATTAGCCAAACTGTTGTTAAGAAACCTCTTACTTTGGGATCTGATCAGCTTGGTTTAAATGTTGGTGGTGCTTGTTCAAGTGGTACAATTGGCCGCTTTGTTCAATTTGAGCTTCCAGATGGTGTCATGACTGATGGTGAAATCAAACAAATTTCAACGCATGTAAGTGTTTTTTTTTGTTTAGTAGTTACCCTTTATTCTAATAAAAGTTACCCTTTATTCTAATAAAAGTTACCCTTTATGTGCGCAAACGTTACTCTTTATGTGCACTAAAGTTACCCTAAATTTTCAGTTTAAGTAACTTTTTCATTATTTTTGTTTTAATTTGTTACATTTGTTTAGTTTTTTCTTTGTTTCTCTGTTTGTAGGTTGTTCATGAATCATTTCTTTTTCTTAAAAGAAATATGGATGTTTTTCAAGCGTTCAGTCAAAGGGTATTAAAACTTTGAATGATTTGGTTACCAATGTTCTTTCTGAAAGAACTACTTCATTGTCTTCTGAGGATCCTATAGCAGTTTCTCAAACTCAACAATTACTCTCTGATCCTCATTATCATAAGCTTTTAGATGGTGTAATTGAGGAGTGTATGAAGATGAAGTCTGCACATGAATTTTTTTAGTTTCGTGGAGAAGATGGTCCTGAACGTCGTAATAATGAAGATGTTCCTTGCTCTGGTTATAATGAAGATGTTCCCGGACCTAATGAAGATGTTCCTGAACCTCCTATTAGATCCAATAAATCTTTATGTTCACTGGATTGTGGGCTAGTAGGTCAGAAGGTGCCTTTTGTGACTCTTTTTATGAGGAGTAACAATCGGATTTTCGAGCGTTTGCCTCAGTTTCATTTGGAAGTTCTTGATTATTGTTTAATGAAGGATGAATCAATGCATAGGAAGTTAAGTGTCATTTTTAGTCATAAATATTCTTTTTTTTTCCTTGATTTTTTTAATGCTTATCTTATTTTTTATCATTGCAGTGAGAACCTTGGGACTTGGGTTAAAATTTTCTAGTTCCAAGAGAAGATATGGTGTCCATTGCCACTCCACTTAATATTTGATGGTGAATTGTTGATTGCTATGCTCTGTATTTGAATGAGGTAGCATGTTTTGTGTCTTCTGGTCCTCAAAGATTCTTTTTTGGTGTGAGGCAAAGTGTAAGTAACTTGATATTTTTATATTTAAACACATTGACTTTTTATTTATATATTGATCTTATACTTTAATAGTTTGCATTGTTGCATGTTTGTGAGAATGAGACAGGTGACAATTCTAATGCTGTTAATAATTTGCACGGTATATGGGAAAGGTGGGTCAGCTACGAGAAACCTGAATGTGATATAATGGATTCTGAACTGGTATATTTCATGCTAAACTAATATCATACCCTTAAAAGTGTTTGTCTGTGAAATGCTTATTAAAGCACTTTTAATTTTACTGATCTATTTATGTTCCTATTCTTGTTGAGGATCACTACGTTTTGTTTGTTGTTGATCATGCAAAGAGTTGATTTACTATCTTGACAATATTATTTGGTGTGATGAAATTGTCGACTACTTTAGAAAGTTGTCTTTTCATCTGGTATGTTCCTGTTATTGAAAAGTGATATGCTTTTTGTATATACAAGTTTATTGTTTCAATTTCAATTTTTTTTTTTTTTTTTTTTTGGACTCAATGGATTCTTAACTTTTATATTTTTTACCAGTTGGATCAATTGGTTGATTTTCTTGGCAAAAGAGATAATCCAAAGAGTACTCAGCTACCTTTCTACAAGTTTACAATTGTTGATTTGGAATGGAGAAAGACTAAGATTGACTACACCGATTGTGGAGTGTTTGTCATGTATCACATGCTCCATTTTTTTGGTGAATCGTTCATATTAAATGAACTCAAAACAGTAAGTATTCATCTATTTGTCTTATTTTCTTCCCTTTCTGATGTTTAAGTTCTTTCATATTGATAAGTTTTTTTTTTCTCTGTTGTGAGGTTGCTGGAAGAAAATATCTGTGTGGACAGATCTGTACCACACTTGTTTTGTGTGATATGAATGAATCAAGGGCAGACGTATTGGCAGAAGTACCCAAGTTCAATGAGAGGAAGAAAAATGCTGATTATGTCAAGGGAATTGAAGAAAGGCTGCAATAGCTAAGAAGAAAAAGCAAGAAGCAGAGGAAAGGAAATAAGCAAAGGAAAGGCAAAGGCAAAAGAAAATCCCAAAGAAAAAAGGGCAAAAAAGCAAACAAAGAAGTACACTCCTTCTAAAGAGTGAACCGACTTGTTAGTGATTAAGTGAAGTAGTATATTTTGAAAACTCAATGTATGTGCATACATCAAATATAATGATGTAACTAAATTTTCTATGGTAATTGTTTGGTGGTTTTTTTTGAAAACTGAATGTAGTTTTTGGTGTTTTTTTGTAAGAAAACTGAATGTATGTGCATACATTAAGTAATTTCAAAATATTATTGGTATATATCTTCTTTTTTTTTAGTTGTACACAATATAGGGTCACTTTATGCACTAAAAAGGGTCACTTCATGCAGTTAAAAGGGTCACTTATTGCATATAAAAGGGTCACTTCATGCAGTTAAAAGGGTCACTTTATGCAATAAATAGGGTAACTTCAATTTTTTTATGGGGTCACTTTATGCAATAAATAGGGTAACTTCAATTTTTTTATGGGGTCACTTTTGTGCATTAGGGTAACTTTTGTGTACATAAGGGTAACTTTATGTGAACATGAAGGGTAACTTTTGTGCATAGAAAGGGTAACTTTTGTTGATAAAAAGAGTAACTTTCTGCATAAAAAGGGTGACTTATGTTCACAAAAGTGTAACATTTGTGCACAAAAGGGTATTCATTTACTCTGTTCATGTTTCCACTATAACAACAATGCAAACTGTATTAATTTAAAGCTTGAAATGAGTACTTAAATTTTAACCAAACTATTCATAAATAAATAAAAAATAATAATAAAAAAATTGTATAACAATATAAAGTATAATAATAATGATTAAAAAAATGTTCTAATTAACTTTGGTAGTAAAAAATTCTTAAAACAGTTGTATGTTAGGTGTCTTTGATCCAAATTCTGAATTTGGAGGTGGCAGTGCTGGTTTCTTTTTCTCTTCCCTTTTTCAAGCCCTCATTTTACTCTCTTGCTTCTTCCTTTTGTTACACCTCTTTTAGGATCAAGTATAGTTGGTACACTTGTGCTTGTACTGGATGTTAAAGAAATATCATTATTGCTTTGAGTGCTATCTGCCACATTAGGAATGTCAGAAGCAGTTTCAACACCTTATTCTCTTTGAGCAGCAGTAGCATGCAAGTCTTCCACCATTTTTAGATTGTTTCTGAAGCTTTCTTTCATAAATGCTCTTGTCTCTTCATTTTCTTGACTTTTTAAGATTAAATTGTAGTATTTCCTCATCATTGTTTGCCTCCATGGTATATATGGTTGTGTAGGATCTTGATTCTTCAACCTATTCCATGCCTCTGTTTTTGCAAACTTTGCCCATCTTTTTGTAACATACTTGTCTGGTATTCTTGTTACTGAATGTATATGTAGAATTTTGATGCAATGATAACATAGCCATCCAAATGCTTCAAAATTTTTGCAAGTACACCATACACTTTGGCTCTCATGTATATAGTTTACTTGATGTGCAGACCATGGCTTGTCTTCTAGGGATAATTGATAAAGTACACATTCTTCAGTTCTCCTTATCATTTAAACAGTTGTTGACATAGAGTATCCAAACTCCTCTTCAAAATCTCTGAAGAGTGACAAAGTGAAAACTTGTGCACCAAAATCATGTAGCTACAGTTAAGCTGCTATATATTTTGTGTAATTTATGTACTTTTGAGTATAACTTTTTACCTGTGCAGCATGCTTTAGCATTCTGGAAAGTGGCAATGAAGTGAATGTTATTGACTTGCTACATGTGAACTCATCATATTTCTCTGTGCTTCTCCAACGATTGGTTGTCTTCTCAAATATGGTATAAAATTCTGTCAAGGTAGTTGCTTTACTTGCTTTGAACCCTATAGCATGATTAGTGCTTTCACTCCTTTGTGACGACAAAATTCCTGTTGAAAAGAAATCTCTACTAAGGGCAAGGCGCCATTTCTCTTTCAATTCATAAACTCTTTTGTACCAAGAGTGTGCTATCAAGTCATGCATCATTGCCTGCCACTTTTCTTCAAATTCTTGTTCTATCAAACACCACTTTAAGCACTGGTTGAATGCATGCTTGAACTCTTTATCTTTTTTAAGAGCCCCAAATCTGGTTATGGCATTTTGTTCTAAATGCCAAATACAAAGTCTATGCCTAGTATTAGGAAGCACCTACATTCAAAATATTGTATGTTGTCAGAACTTATTAGTTAGGGTAATATCTAAATATAAATGTTTTACCTGCTCAATTGCATTTGCCATTGCTTTGTCCTGGTCAGTGAATATTGATGTTGGTGTTTTATCCTCCATAGCTTTCTTGAAGGTTTCTAGTAACCACACAAATGATTTTGTTTTTTCATCCCCAATAAAAGCATATGCAAACATACAATTATGCCAGTGATTGTTTATGCTAACAAAAGGAGCACATATAAGATTATATCGGTTGGTTCTGTATGTTGTATCAAAGACAAGAACATATCCATATATCCTATAGTCTTCTAACATCATTGTATCTCTCCAAAAGATATTGGAAATTCTTTCTTCATTGTCAAATTTTGCTCTAAAAAAGAAGTTTGGATCCTCTGATTGTTCCTGATTTAAAATGTTCACTAAAGTTTGAGCATCTCCAGCCTCATTTTGCTCCATTCTTAACCTTGAGCAGAAATTCAAGTGATCTACAACACGTACTATTCCCTACATTTATGTTCTCCTCCAGTTTATGTAGCCATGTAATTATAAGTGTCCATTGTAGTCAGACCTAAAGATTTCATTGTTTTGATTGCTACAGCTATTTCTTCTGTCATTTTTCTTTTAGAACGATGCAAATAATGCCACCGTGACCTTGTTAGCTCGTGGTTATGTTGTAATACATGTGCCACCACCTCAAACTGTCCTTCTTTATTTACTTTCGCTCTTATGCATGCCTTGCAATCAAATCGTGTAATGGCTACTTGTCTTGGCTTTCTTGTTTTCACATTTACATTCTCTTCATCAACCATTTCAACTAATTTTGTTTTCTTGTCACCTAAATTTCTCTTTCCTTCTGTAGAACACACATAATTTTTCTTTTGGACTATCTTTGTATGTGTGAAGTATCTTGTTGTATGCTTTCTTATTGAAAACCCCAGTATAGCAGCATGTTTTTCATACAATTCCAAAATTTTTGCAAAAGTTTCTCTTACCACACCAACAAATGATCCTCTGAGATCTAAACCAGAAACATCAATTGGATTTGCATATGTGATTTAATACAAACATATCAGACAACCAGAGGCATCATGTCATTCTGTTTAGAAATCTAAGTGAAGTGGAGTAATATATGTTTTATATGGGTCACTTTTATGCATAAAAAGGGTTACATTTGTTCATACAAAGGGTAGCGTTTTTGCATACAAAAGGGTAATATTTGTGCATACAAAGGGTCACTTTTATACATAAAAAGGGTCATATTTATGCATACAAAGGGTAACTTTTATCAATGTTGTATTCATACAGGTAACATATATCAAAAATAACAATTATGGATCACTTATTCAACTAATTTGGTTACTCAACAATTAAAATAAAACAATATGAATTTTGATTAATTAGAAGGTTGATTGTATAGAAATTACCTTCAGTTGCATTTGATTTGAATGTTTGTGCTGAATTTGAGTCAAATTGATTTATGAGGTACAACCTGATTTTCTATCTCTTCTGCATTATCTGCTTCTTCTGGATTTCTATTTTTGCCAAAAATTTGATTGCCTCCAAACTCAGTGTTAGGATTGCTATTATTTCCAAAAATTTGATTACCTCCAAATTCAGTGTAAGGATTGTTATTATCTTCAAAAATTGGAACAAATTCATCTCCAAAACTCCTTGTTTCTTCTTCTATAATCGATCGATTTAAATTGATTTCAACAAAAGAATTTGAGTTCTCAAAATCACCTTACAATGAATTTTCAATTTGCCTCTGTTTTTGTAGAAATTCATGGATCTGATTACTGCAATTTGAGCTATTGAAGTTTGCTGATGAATTTTCCATTGATGATCGAAGCCCTAAGGTATGAATTTTCGCGTTTTCTCTCTGCATGTTCTCACTTTCTCTCTCCTTCATTTTTGTTGCGTTTTCTAACTTTAAGCTATGATTTCGCATGTTTTGTTTTCAAAATTAAAAATAAAATTAAAACAAAAAAATAAATGCTCGCACGTACCGCGCCGCCGAATTTACAATTTTATTGTAAACTGGGGTTATGCAAAAAATTTTGTAAGTTAATATACAAAATCCACTTTATTCATGAAATTTTGAACTTTCAGCCACTATATGCTGATACACCACGACATAAATCCATTGGTAATAATTTATAATTTTCGTATATCTATTGATAAGCTAGGTATCAATTTTGAAAGAATATTTTCGTACTTGTGTGTACCTTTTCCAATTAAAAAATCAAATTTTTTGGATTATCATTTAATTAAAAAGAATTTTGGGACCGAATATTTACAAAAAATAATCCTATTGTCAGCAAATTTTGTTTTTAAAATTGTTTATGAAAACGTTATGTTATTAAATAAATTATTAATTAATATTTTTTCGAAATTAGTTGGGAAAATGGATGAAATTTTTTAAGTAACTGACACATGGCATAATTAATTAGTACTCGGAATAGATGATTGGGACACCTTCTATAATATGTAATTAAGAACATGTGTTATTGTGTTGTAAAAGTTATTTAAAGCATCAATGAATGAGAAGATGGCGGCAGTATATATGAGGCCCCAATTTGGCTCCACAAACCACATCCCTTTCACAGCTCAGACGCCCCTCGCCTCTTAATTACCTTCTACGAGTACAATTAATATCAGTGTTGATTTCTGAATTTTATATATATATATATATATATATATATATATATATATATATATATATATATATATATATATATATATTAATGATTTCATACAATTTGTTTGTTTGTTTATCTAATACTAGGGTGGTCTACGCGGGCGATGTGTGTGAAGGGGCTACCTCTTACATAAAAGTTATATTTGCATCCTTCATATCATATTATTATCCCTTCATATTTTAAGGGGCTTAATTTAAAAATCTTAATTGATTTGCATGTTTCAATAATACTTCGTATAATAATTCTAGTGTGGTTTTTTCTTCTGATGAATTTTTTGTGAGCTTAGGTCATACGAAGTAATAATATGCGAAATGTTGCAACTAAACACTTATAAATGTATGTTCTTAATTTTCTACAACCATCTAAAAACATCTAATACTAAATCAATAACCACTTAATTATATTTTTCCTCTTTAATTCCTTCATTTTCTCTCCCATGATTAATACCAGTTTTTTTTTTCCTTTCTATCATCGATTTTCCTTGGTTTTAGGATTTTTAAGTTCTTTATACCTCTTGATAACATCTGCTAATATATCACTATTTAATATGAATCTCATTCACAATTCCATAATATTGTTTATGTGCCATCAAACAATGTAAATTTCAAAAGCTAATAAACCTTAACAATATTAGCAGTTAAAGCATGACAAGATTGTAAATAAGAAGAATAACCACGAAGGAGTAAAAATAAACCGTCTCTTAATAATACACGGTCTCTCTGTACATAAAGTTTTTTTTTCTTTTTATATAATAATAATAATAACATATTTTCGGATTTTTTTTTATTAAAAAACAAAGCATTAAAAAAAACTTCGAGCTAATTAATGATATATTTAATTAAAAGAAAAACATTAAATATATTAATGAGGGTAAAAATGTAAATACATATTTTTGTATACATTTTTGAGGTTAAAGTTGGTAGCACACTATTCCTAAGAGTTATCTTATACTTTTTTATAAGGTAAGGAGAGTGTACAATTTTTTAAAATCTTATAAGTTAGGTCTTAGTCTTAAGAGAAGATGGACCTAAGAGGTGTATATCAAGTTTGTTAAGATCAGGGTCATATTTTGAATCGATGAGGAAAATAGGATTGGATTATTAGAGTCATATTGTAGGATCATAGGATGAATTTCACTTATTTATTTATGTATTTGTAAAACAATGATTAATATAGTTGTAATAATATGTTAATATGAACTAAGCTAGATACATAGTAATATAATATGAACAATAAATAAGAGAAACAAAAAGAAGAAATATCACCACATCTATCGTGGTTTAGTGAACATAGACCTACACCCACCGTACCAATAGAGACTCGGAGCTTTAATATTACTCTCCAATAATTGTACAAAGAGCTGTTTTGGGGATTTTTGGAATGTCTATCGAGAAACGGATATTCAATGCAACCCACCAGCTAGACACCTGCAAAACAACAAATAATTCATTTATCGAAATATTCGCCTCCGGCGATCAAGTTGATGACCGGTAACGGAAAGTCTAGAGAGGGAGATTAGAGAGAAGTTAGAGCAAACAACTTATAATGCCTTGAATGCACAAGTCTCAATCACCCCCTCCCATCATAAATGATTGGGGTATTTTTTGGGGTTGGAGTGCGTGCCCCCCTAGGTTATGAAGGTGTGTTTTGATTGGCTGCCTAATGCGCGATGGACACATGTCTTAGGTTTGCGCCTCTATGGTGCAATTCTCTAGATTTGGGGCTTTCATGCAATAATGTCCCCTTCATTCTTCAGGGGTGTTTTATGTTGCCACATGTCGAACCATGATTCGATCCTTTAGACATTGCCAAGGGACATGTGTCAATGTTTGATTGCTCCACGTGGCAACATATTACTGGTACACGTGGTAGGCGTATTTTTACATTAAGCAAGAGCAATATTTGATTCCTATATTAGAAAATCCTCTAATGATTAGGGTTTTTTTTACTAAGGAAACCTATATGTTTCTTCAATTCCAATAACAATTAAACCCAATTCAAAAGTTTAGAACAAATTGGGTTTAATTGGATATCAAATAGAAATCTTGGGTCATCAATGGCATATACTTTTATCTTCTTCTTCGCTTAATTTAAGGCACTTTTAATATATGTTTGGTAAGAGGTTTTTTTTTATATTGGAAAGCATTCAGTTAACCTAATATCATTATCAAGTGATTGGTTATATTACTCACGAGTTTCCTATAACTTAAGTTGTTTCTAGGAATTTTTATAAGTTTCAAGAAGATTGTTGATTTGAAATATATCTAAGTCATGATTGTAAAGCAGCAATTGATAATGAACAATGTACAAATAATTGCTTCTCCCTCTACCAATAATCTATCTAGTAACTCGATTATTATTATTTTTTATCATCAAAGGCAACAAACAACCCAATTTATAATTTGTACGATTTTATTGTTCCCAACAATTTTTTTTTTTTTTTTTTGTCTAATTTAATTAGTCGTACTTAATTGAGTCGTTGTTTGTCCCATTAAGGACATCCTCATATCATGTAAAAATTAATAATTGGTCAGAGAATTGGGTTAGATTATGAGAGCACATACATTCATGCATGATAATTTGTATATACTCCTTCAAATTCAAAAAAAAAAAAATACGAAGTACATTTTAAGTACATACACTTGTTGCAAGAAAAAGAAGGGTGTCTTCTCTCCATGTATAAAACTCACATCTTGTACTAGATTTTTCTCAAAAGGAAGATTCTTCCTATCTTAAATTCTTAATCTTCACCTTTTT